CCGGGGCTGGCCAGCTCCTGCCAGGAAGCAGCAGGTTCTGAGCCAGGCAGACACCCGCCCTGGAGGCCCTTGGTCCCACCCTACTCAGAGCCCCCCTTGCTGTGGGCAGGCTGGTTCTGGGGGGCAGACGGAGAGGAGAGCGGGTCAGAGCTCACCACGGCCCTGCGCCCTGCACCCAGCCAGAGCGCTGCCCAGTCCTGAAAAGCCTCCACCCACCTCACTGGCTGGGCCGCCCGTCTGGCCGCGGGGGTCTCGGGAGCTCTTCACCCCTCTTTCCTCTCTGGGTTGCAAATAATGCAGGCTGCCGGTTGCTCTTCTCTCCAGCTGGAGGCGCTAGCGCTGGGGGGGCCACGCACCGGAATAACAGCCTGGGGCCCACTCCTTGCCCCCCCTTCTCCTCCCTCTCCCGCCAGGGGGATCCCAGTGCGGTTACTGCAGATTTGCGCTGGCGTGAGCGAGAGGAGAATCGGCCCCATGGAAACCCGGCTGCACTTGGCTGTCATGACTGGGAATGCCGCGTTCTGAGGGTCCTGGGGCTCCCAGACACCGGTGAGACAAGGCGTCGTGTGGGGACGCTGGGCCACGGGCATCGGACCCCGGAGATGCCTGGATCCCCTCTTGCCCGCTGTCTCGGATGTGCTCGTGTGACACAGCGGGGGCTGTCCGCTCTGTAACCCGCTGTCCCCCTGAGCTCGGCTGCGTGATTCCCACGGGCTCACCCACGTGTGGATTGGCCTAGGCCCAGCCCGACCAGATAACAAGGCGCTTCCCAGGGGGAGAGACAAGGGAGGGAGGCGGAGACGAACACCTGGTTTGGGGGAAGGGGCAGTTGCTGGCTGGGAAACACGAAGGAAACAGCGTGAGCTGGGGGCTGAGGGTGTAGGGGGAGCGATGGACCCCCTCCCCAAGGGGGCTGAGGCATCCTGGCCCTGACTCCGATAGACACAGCGGCTGTGTCTAGACTGGCAAGTTTGTCCGGAAAATCATCTGCTTTTCCAGAAAAACTTGCCAGCTGTCTACACCGGCCGCTTGAATTTCCGGAAAAGCACTGACGATCTCCTGTAAAATCATCAGCGCTTTTCTGGAAAAACTATACTGCTCCCATTCGGGCAAAAGTCTTTTTCAGAAAGACTTTTGCCCAAAAGGGCCAGTGTAGACAGCACAGGACTGTTTTCCGCAAAAAAGCCCTGATCGTGAAAAAGGCAATCGGGGCTTTTTTGCGGAAAACCGCGTCTAGATTGGCCACGGACGCTTTTCCGCAAAAAGTGCTTTTGCG